CTTCCTAGCTAAGGACCCATCTAGCCTTAATAAGGGCTTCTCTGGTGGCTCAGAGGTTAAAGCGTCTGCCTCCAAGGCGGGAGACCTGGGTTCGATCCCTGGGTTCGATCCCTGGGTTCGATCCCTGGGTTCGATCCCTGGGTCCGATCCCTGGGTCGGGAAGATCCCCTGGAGAAGGAAACGGTAACCCACTCCAGTATTCCTGCCTGGAGAATCCCATGGACGGAAACCGCGGCTCACACCGTACGTAACAGAAGTCTCTGCGGCGACCTTGGAGGAAGAAGTTGGCTTCTGCCGCGCCCACACCCGCCCACACCTCTCCTGAGCCCGTCCCGCCTGTGTGTCTCTTCCTTGCCTCTTTCCCCCCACACTCGATATTTTCAAGCACCGAGAAGCAGACACGAGCACCTCCTCTCTAGTTCTGTTTTTGGTTGGTTTGTTTTTTTTTTCTCACTTAATCTTACCCATACTGGGTGCTCGCTGCACTAGTTTCTGGGACCTTATTCTTTTCTGAGTTCCCAGCCCCAAGCAGAAGACGTGGCACCAGGAGCGCTCGAAAGAGTTGCTGAGAAATTTTGGTACGGTGCGGGAGAGGTGGACAGGGCGGGGGCGGAATACCAGGAGGAAGCGAGAGCCTTCTGCCTGAAGCGCCTGGAAAGAGGTCTAGGGAACCAAGGCGCCTGAGCTCCCCGTGACAGCTCCGAGCAGGGCGTCAGACTCCCCGCCCGACAGGCTGACGGGGCCCGCCGGGAGGGCGGCGTGCAGGGCCGGCGAGCAGAAGGCCGCCCGCCCCTCGCCGCTGGCGTCTGTTCCGGGCCTGCCGGCCGGCGGGGCACAAAACACGCGACGCGGCACCTCCCCCGGTCTCCAGCCGCAGACTTCGCGTCGGGGGTGCTGAACGTCCGAGAAGCCGCGGTGCCTTCCGGGAACCGCGCGCCGGACCGACTGGACGGCTCCGGGAAGGGCGGGGTGAGTCCGGCGGTCGTCCCGGCGGGCGCGGTGCCCGGGGCGCGCGGGCTGCAGGGCGCAGCCGGGATCCGGGGCGGTGAGCGGGGAGCCACAGCCCCGTTTCCCGGAACTCAGGACCGGTTGGTTTCTTTTCCTCGGCCCCGAGGGTGCGGCCGCCCTCTCCCGCCGTGTGGACACGTGGGGACGGTGTGGGGGAGGGGATGCGTGGGGGTCGCCGTGGAGGGGCCTCCGGAAGCCGGCCCACTACCCTGCACAGCCCCGCCGCGGGCAGTCAGTGCGGAAATGCCGGGAGCTGATCCCACGTCTTGATGGTTAATGCCCCCTTCCTTTTCCAGAGCCCGTTTTAGGCACAAGAGGAATAACTCTGTGTTAAAAGTCTCATCAGAAAAGGATGCTTGATGCCAGTTTTTGGAGGAGAGGGGGAATGGCATCAGAATTCTTCATGGATTTATATTGTTACTAACCATTTTAAGATTTTTCACTTTTAAAATTAGTGACTTTTACCCCTCATTGTTTTCCTGCAAGAAACCTATGAACATATCCTTATTAGGGATTTTAGCAGTTTTACATATTATAAATAGCACCTCAGTGCGCATCCTTAGCATCCATCTATCTATACACAAAGGAGCTTCTTTACAGCACAAATTCCTAGAAATTCACATTGTTGAGTAAAAGTATATGTATTTCTATTCCCTTTCATTCTTTTGATATCTTTATCCTATACTCAATAAGCCCTAAACAATTTTAGTTATTATAATTTTAATATCTGACAGATGGGTCCCTATTTTATTACAAAAATCCTGACTAGTCCTACTAATTTCCTGTTTCAAATGAACCTTGAGGATCATTTAGTTTCAATACCAGAATGTACCATTGAGAGTTTTACTGGAACTGCATTAAATTAGATTTATATTTGAAAAGGATTTCCAGGTTTATAATTTTTAATCTCTCCAGCCAAAATAAATAATAGTTCTCTCCATTTCTTGAGGCTTTGTTTTCCGTGGTTTTCTTCATACCACGTCATCACTTTTCCTGTGAAATGAATTCTTTTAAGTTGTTGCTTAACTTAAGTTGCTTAACTTAAGATGAGTTGGGTATTTTCCCCATTATCTTTTGACTAGTTATTACTGAGATATGGCTTTTTTGAATAAGAACTGGAGGGTGGAGCTATGAAGCTGAAATCCTCAAGTTTTCCTGAGCAACACTTTCACATCTGCTTCTGTCTCCAGTAGACCAGAGAAAGGCATAAAGTTTACTGCCCCCAGGAGTCCCCCCAAAATGGCCTTGAATCTCTCTGCTTAGCAACTAGGAATAGCTGGGTAGCCTGAGACCACTTGAATCTTTTTTAGGCATGCCCTAACACCTGTTACTTCCCTTCCTAGATCAATGTAATGCTAAGACAATAACAACAAAAAGTATCAATTAGTTGCTTATTTGGTTTCACTTCTACTAATTTTTTACTGCCTCTTTAAGCCAGATTTGGTCCCAGGCCAACTACTTTCTCCTAACTAGTACTGCTACTCCTACCTGTTTCATTGAACTGTTGAGATTAACTTTGTTTAAAACTGCTTTGGATACTGTTTCCATGGCCCTGTACTTATTTAAATGCAACCTTGTCCCTGACTTAGTATCTTCATCTACAAAATTAAGATAACCACTGTGACCTCCTGGTTCCAAATCACTTAGCCTGTACCAGGTGAATAGAGCGATTCGTGATCCTCGCTGTTAGCATCATTCATTACTGAGCCTAGTTGCTTTTGGTTGCATGTACAGCAAATATGATTCAAACTGGCTTAAGCAATAGAGACAGTTATTGGTTCTTGAAGCCTGTAATTGAGTAACGGGGTAGACCTCAGGATCAATTCAAACCAGTGGCTCAATATTGTCATCAGGACTTGGGTTCTTTTCTTTTCATTCTGCCATCTGTAGGTTAGCCTTGTTCCACAGCTTTAGAATCAGAGTTCTATTCATATTCCGAGAAAGACTGAGAGTTAGAAGCTGGCTTCCTGGGCTGTCTTAGAGGAGCCAGGAAGTTCCCCAGCAAACATTCCCCTCAAAGTAGCCCAGATGCCTAGTTTAGAACCAATCACTGTGATAAGCTATGAGGAATTGTCTGATGGCTTAGATCAAGGTTTCTCAACCCCTGCTTTAATGACATTTGGGGCTGGATAGTTCTTTGTTGGGAGCAGGGTCAGTCCTATGCATTGTAGCATCCTGACCTCTATCTGCTAGATGTCAGGAACACCCACTCCACAGTTGTGGCAACCAAAACTGTCTCCAGATATTGCCAAAAGTCCCAGTGGTGGTGGGGTGCAAAATCACCTTTAGTTTAGAACCTCTGGCTTAGAGACATCAAGCCTCACCCTTAGAACCAGGGATAGGACCAGAGCCCCACAAACAGATTGCTGATTGAAGGAGGAACAGATTGTTACAGAAAATGTGAAGGTAGTCCAAGTGGCACTAGTGGTATGGAATCCGCCTGCCGACGCAGGAGAGGCAAGAGATGCAGGTTCCACCCCTGTGTTGGGAAGATCCCCTGCAGTAGGAGATGGCAACCCACTCCAGCATTCTTGCCTAGAAAATCCCATGGACAGAGAAGCCTAGTGGGCTACAGTCCATGAGGCCTCAGAGTAGGACATAACTGAGCACACACAGAGCATTAGGAAGCAGAGAAATGGATACTGTGTAGGCAACACGAATGTCTACCGCAACTCTTCTGAGCCTGGAAAATTTCTTAGTCTTTATGCAAATGCCTCGGAGGGACCAGCACTTATAACAAGAAGTCTTACTGATGCATTGGCCAGTGGAGAGGGCGAAGCAAATTTACAGAGTGCTAAAAACACAATAGAGAGGGAAGAAGGTGTGGACCACGGAGGCAGGCATGCCCAAGCATTGAAGAAAGAGACAGAAAGAAAAGTTTGAGACTAACAGAAGCCAGCTTCTATTACAGTCCTGAATGTCCTCAGCTCGCTGTGGCCAAGGTTGTAAACTGAGGCTTCAAAGGCAATCTTCAGTTGGCCAACAAAGTTTATTTGACCAGTACAGTCTTGGACTGCATAGTTTTTAAAACATTTTTTGACGTGGTTGCAGGATTTTAAATTGAGAGATTAAAAATCCAGATTTCTAACTGCTCTCTAAAAACTAGAAGATCTTCTACCACTGGGCCCTTTATCCTTGAAGAGCAGCAGCTGTTGACTTTACTAGGTAATCCTTACCTTCTTTAGACAAGATCTGAGCATTTCAACCCACTGTCCTATGATCACCCCTATACTTTGGCAGGATATGCTTGTCAGAATAGGCTGACCTGCTTTAACAAACTGACCCCAAAATGTAATGATTCAAATGCAATAGCAGTTTATTCCTTGCTCACTTAGCAGTCCATGACAGTCATTCCAGGTTTATGAGCAGCTCTCCTCCAAGCCATGCTTCAGGGACCCAGGATTCTTCATTCCGGAGCTCCACCACACTCAGGGCTACATCCTCCTATACTACCAGCTGACAGTGGGTGGAGGAGACAAACCTGACTCAACCCCTAGCAACACTTTATTGCTCATACCCCTTTGGTGAGAAATAGTCATATGGCCCCATCAAGCTGCAGGAAAGTTTGGGAGATGTAGTCCTAGCTGAGCCAATTTGTTGTTTATTCACTAAGTCATATTGGATTCTTTGTGACCCTGTGGACTGCAGCCTGCCGGGCTCCTCCATCCATGGGATTTTCCAGGCAAGAATACTGGAGTGGTTGCCATTTCCTCCTCCAGGGGATCTTCCCGACCCAGCTCCTGCCACATCTCCTGCATTGCAGGTAGGTTCTTTACTGCGGAGCCACTGGGGAAGCCCCTGGCAAAGCCAGTACTTCCCAGCTAAAACTGGAAGCTTTTGGTGGACGCAAGCCATCTCTACCTTACATGAAAACAATAGGAAGACCTCTTCAGCCATTTAAATCACAGACACCCTTGATGTTCCCTTATCCCAGTAGTAAATATGAAAGAGGATCCCAGGACTTACACAGATCCCATCAGTTTCTTCCAGGTATGGATCAGTTGAAGCAGATCATCTCCTTAGGCCAGCTTATCTACAACCAGTGTGCGGAGATGAAATACTGCCGGAAACAGTGCCGACGTCTAGGGGACCGCGTCCAGGGCCTGCTGCAGCCTCTGCAAATGCTCCAGGACCAAGGAGAGAGGAACCTGCCCTCCCAGATCACCACTGCGCTGAGCCGTTTCCAGGCTGCCCTAGAGGAAGCTAAGGAGCGGATAGACAAGTTCAGCAATAAGTCCAATATCCAGAAGTTTCTAACAGCAGGGCATGACAGCATAGTCTTTGGTGGGGTGAACCAGAGGCTGAGCAATGTCTGGGAGGAGCTCTCTCTGCTGCTCCAGGTGGATCAGTGGAGGCACACTTCAAGCCTCAGCCCAGGAGCGTCCTGGCAACAGGAAGATCAACAGGATGCAGAGGAGGACAGGAAAGCTCTCCAAGGACTGAGTGGTGAGGATTTTTTCCAGGTGGGGGGGATGCACATGCAGGTATATTAGCCTCATTTTGGTTTACTGGAAAATCAGGAAGGTTGAAGAGGTTTTGGCAGGTATCTGTCGATGAGACTTAGAATTCCAGACATCTGAGTGGAGTGGGGTGCCTGCCATGAGGCTACAGCCAGAGTGCGGATGTGTGATGCGACGACATGGGAGTGAAGGCTTGGGGCCAGTAACTCCGAAGACCTGGGGCAAGAGTGGAGGTGCGAGTGCCATCAGGAGACCACGTCAGAGGCTGTGCTCACGTGGCACGGGCTTGGGTCAGAGTGGCCCGGGCCGGACTGAGCGGAGGGCAGGGCTCCAAGGGGATGAGACACGGGCTGGGCTGGAGAGGGAACGATGGACACAGATATGACTTTACACTTTTGCAGATCGTGATGATGTTAATTCCAGATCCCTCCCTCTTATTAGGGGTGTGGGTGGAGGGAGAGGAGTTAAGGGGAGAGTTTCAATGAACCTTCCGGGCACTGGAACTCAGAGGGATAACCGTTCTCCCCCTTGATGTGGAAGATGGTGCCTCCTCAGTCAGGTGCGCCGGCATCTCCAGCATCACAAACTGGATACGGAAGAGACCTGTAGGCAAACGGTTTTTTGTTTGCTTGTTTTTTTGATAAGGAAGAGTGAGGCATTTTTAATTCCCTCAACCAAACACCTACCACTGAGGAAAACTGGAGTCAGGAATTGGGTTGAAATGAGGTTGAACGCATCGCAGCAGCTGATCCTGCCCAAGAGCAGGGTTGGTCCCTGGCCTTCCTCATCTTTAGCGTTCATTGGTCTACTTTCTGGTAGAAGGAGGTACCTCGGTGTCATCAACTTGGAGGAAAGGCTATACTTCCTGCAATTGTGTGAAAACATTTTGACTCAGTAATACTTTCATATAGAACAAAATTCAGAAGGCACAAAAAGGACCCCGCATGAGGTGGAAATCTGCCTCTCACCCTTGACAGCAAAGTTCCATTCCCAGACACATGCTCTCTTACCAGTTTCTTGAATAGCCTTTTGGAGAGTCAAGTATATATTTTCTTTCTTGTTGTTGTATAATCAATAGCATATTAAGTACACTGTTCTCCTTGTTTTTCTCATCGAATAAACTCATTAAATATTCTTCCATATAAATACCCATAGAGTTGTCTAGTATTCCTTTGTTTATAGGGACCAGATATATTCAAGGAGCTCTCTATTGCTGGACATTTAAATTGTGTCCAGTTTTCCACTATTGTTAATAGTTCTATGGTGAGTCTTTTTGTTTGTATTTCAGGATCTCCTTACGGAAAATTCCTTGAAGTTGAGTTATTGAGTCTTAATTGCTAGATCAGAAAGTATGGACATTTTAAAACTTTGATACAGGTTGCCAGATTAACTTCCACATAGGTTATAGAAATATTATGGCTACGAACCATGTATGTGTTTGTCTGACGAGATTTTCCTGGTTTGAGCACTGAAGGTCTCATATCCTCAGAGCTCCTCAGTCCTGAGAAAACTAGGATGGTTGGTCAGCCTATCTAGTATAGGATACATTTTTAACATATTTCTGAATATATAAGTCAGGATAGATTTGATTATACCGTGGTTCAAAAAAAAACCTCAGTGTCTTAGAGAAGGAAATGTCTTTTTCTCGTTCAGAGAAAGTCCAGGAGATGCTCAGGTAGCTGTCATCCTCCCGGATGTTTCAGTATTGTGGCACTTTCTTGTTGACACAGACTTCCCTGAAAAGTTCTTTCACTTCATTTTTTGGCCAAAGCAAGGCATGCAGTCATGCATCAGGGCACTTCCTGTCTGCTTAGAAGTGGGGAGCCAGATATTTGTGAACAGTAATCATTCCTACTGCAGCGAACATGAGAGATGAGAAAAGGGTATCTCAGTGTGCTTTTACTGAGAGTTTCTGTTTTTGAGTGTTTGCTGCTGTTTTTCTTGCAGAGAAAGAAACTGTAAAAACTTTATTGAGGCAACTGGAGAACATGAAGGAAACCATCGAAGCTGTGAGGAGCTGTGAGTTGTCATGTGCCCTGCTGCTTCTGGTTGCCCCAAACTGGAAGTCCTGAGTTTGTTAGGAACTTCAGGCTCCCCCACCCCACTCTGGTCCTTTTTCTGGGCTGGATGGCTGCAAGCAGCCCACAGGTTTTGGGGATATGTTCATGGCTGGCCCAGGCTTTTGTGCATGGGGTTGTGTTTGAAGAGGGTTTCTTGACCAGAAAGATATCTTCCAGCCCCTGTCAAAGTGCTGACAACTTCCTCTCTCTCTCTCTTTTTTTTTTTTTCCCTTGTGGCTTGTGGGATCTTAGTTCCCTGACCAGGAATTGAACCCATGCCTTCTGCAGTAGAAGCTCAGAATCATAACCACTGGACTTCCAGGGAAGTCCCCTGATGACTTCCTCTAGATAGCATCAAAGCTTCAACTCATTTGCTGAAATTTCCAAGAAGAAATTCAAAATCCGATACGTGTATATGTATGACTGAGTCCCTTTGTTGTATCCGTGAAACTATCACAACATTGTTTGCTAATCAGCTATACCCGAATATGAAATTAAAAGTTTTTAAAAATTAAAAAAAAAAGAAATTCAAATCAAATTAAAAATGCTTATCCATTCTACACATCTGTGAGTCTCTGCTTTATGCTAGAGCCTATGTGTAGAGGAAACTAAGATAGAGAGAAAGACTGCCTTCTCAGAGTTCCCAGCCATGGCACAGAGTAAGGGAGAGGAAAGACGCATAACAGTGGGGTTACTGAGCTTAAACTGTGTATCTGCCTGTTAGGACTGAACTCACTAGACAAGGTGCCAACGCCCAGGCGCCAAGCTGTTGTGCAGTAGGAGGAGATGAGAGAGATGGATTGAGATGGGGCGTAGGCTGGAGAAGGCAGGACCCGAAGAAGAGGGGAGAGAAGTATGTGAGACATTTCTGTTACCATCAGCTGTGTCTCTACCGATCACTCAGAGGCACTGGGACCTCTCTCCCGGGAGGAGGCAATCAGAAGCTCCAGGCAGACCCAGCTTTAGTTCACTAGGTGGGGCTTCCCCCTCAAGCGTTGCTAAGATGCCTCTTCCCTCATAACACACCCTCCTCAGCTATTGACTCTTTATTACCTTCTGTCCTAGGGATGAGGTCGGATTCACAGAAACCCAAGAAGGGGTTCCCACAAGATCAAATCAAGGAGATTAAGAAGGAGGAGCTTCCAGAAGCCGATTGGATCCTACTAAAGGAAAATGAATCCAGCACACTTTATAAAGGAAAATACCACGAATCTCCCGTGGCCATAAAAGTATTCAACAACTCCCAGGCCCAAGGCATTGGGTGAGTTGTTTTGTATGGTTCTGTCCCCTAGTTACTTCCTGTCTGTAACTCCTCAAGGAGAGGGGCAGACTGTCTCCATGTTTTGATAGGGGGAACTCAGATCCCAGAGGGTTAAATATTTGCTCTGTGTTATTAAGGAACACAGTGTAGACTTGAAGGTATGTCTTCCAAAGTCAACTCTAGAAACGTCTCTTGTTTATTCATGTATTTAGTTATTTTTAAAGGCAGATTCCCTTTCATTCCTGTTGCTTGCTTTCCCATCCCTTTCACAGACGATAAATTATTTTGTTTGTATGTGTTCTTGCAAAATGTTTGCTGTTATTATATGTGTGCAGTTTTTTTTTATGTGTGCGTTTTAAATGTTCACAGACGGTAGTGTGACATGTCTGCCGTCTGCTATTCTTACCCTTCTCACTCAGCGTCGTGAAACTTGTACTGTGCTTATAGTTGTTTCCTTCTGACTGCTATCCATGGTGGAAATCCACATTTTGCCTCTTTTTCCAGTGATGGAACACAACCTGCTTCTAACTTTTGCCCATCAAAAATAATGCTGCCATAGGTATCCCTTTATGGCCCTGTATGGGAATTTCTTGGGGCTGTATTGCTAGGAGAGGAACTGATGTACCATAGGGTATGCATATATTAAGTTGACTAAGAATTACCAGGTGACTCTAGAACAGGTTGTATATGTCTTATCCTCACCCCTGGGAGATGCTGATGATCCCTCAAGTGAAAGTGAAGTCGCTCAGTCGTGCCCGACTCTTTGTGACCCCATGGATTGTAGCCTACCAGGCTCCGCAGCCCATGGGATTCTCCAGACAAGAATACTGGAGCAGGTTGCCATTTCCTTCTCCAAGGGATCTTCCCGACCCAGGGATCGAACCTGGGTCTTCCGCACTGCGGGCAGGCGCTTTACCGTCTGAGCCACCGGGGAAGGCCAGTGATCCCTCAAGCCCCGTGCATACAGACGGTCACTACACTGACGGTTTTCTGAAGGACCTCCCCATCCTGAAAGCCTGTTTTCCCTTTTTATTCTCATAGAATAGTGAGGCATACTTTCAATAATGAAATCAGAACCATGAAGAAGTTTGATTCCCCCAACATCCTGCGCATGTTTGGGATTTGCATTGATGAAGCAGGTAAGGGTGCCTCTAGGACTGGGCATGCTGTCTGTGGTCTGTCATATATCTCTGTGCTTTCCTGCATTGTTTCACTACAGCAGCTCAAAGGGTGGCATCTGCATGGTGCTTTTATTATTGACATTCATTTTCTCGCATCCCACGATGCAGGTTCCCATCTTTCAGGAGACGAGGCCTGAAGTTGGCTTCAGCCTGAGGGCTGGTTTGCACTAATGCAACCACATCTCTTCCTGCTGATTCCCTGGGAACCAAGGAGATGCTTGTTCACATGCTGACCTGGGTGATGAGTGTATTTTGTTGCAAAAAAACATTGCAAAGCTGACTGACCCAAATAAGGAATCTAACCTTGATCATTAGTGTAGAACGAATCTAAAAGCTAAATTAGCCTGCCCTTTACCAAGAGCTTCATTTGTCAGGCTCATTTTCTTTTTTGTTTTTTTTTTAATGTGGCTGCATTTCCTCTCACAATGTGACCTCTCCTGCTGGTTATGTTTTGCTGCTTTTGCCTACAGAGGGCACAGAACAGCTCCCTTCTTAGCCCCTCTGGAAGTTTCTGCACAGGTTCAGGTGACCTGACTTTGGAGCACAGAATCCCAGGCTAAAGGAAAACTTCTAAGAGCATTTATCCTCCTGGGTGACAGCAAGGTGACTGACTCACTCTGTGTACGTCAGTTCTTACACGTCTCATGGCCCTGCCCTGAGGTCTCAGCTTCCTGCCCTGAGGCCTCAGCTCCCCTCCTCAACATATTCGTTCAACTTCCCGTGAGCACTGTCTGGACACAGCAGACCCTGTCCTCTTGGGTTGTAGTGTTGAGTCGGGGAGTCAGTTACTCAAATAACTAGGGGAAGTGTAGAGTTCTGACATGCCAAATGCCACAGAGAAGAGATTTGGGGACTCTGTGGGTACTGGACTCACTCAAGGAGTCAAACCATGTGAGACGGGGATGGAGAAACACAGCAGAGCTGCGTCTGTCTCTTAGAGAGAGGGTGGGACGGGCTACAGAGAGACCTCTGAGCAGGATGCATCTTCACAGCGATCGGCTCTTTTCCATCAGTGACACCCCCTCAGTTATCCATCGTCATGGAGTACTGTGAGCTCGGGACCCTGAGGGAGCTGCTGGATCGGGAAAAGGACCTCACCCTGGCCAAGCGCATCATCCTGACCCTGGAGGCAGCCAGAGGCTTGTACAGGTACCAGCGTGGGCAGAGGGCGCCCAGAGGGAGAGGATGAGTCTGCCTCCCTTCCCGCTTGACCCAGAGACAAGCAGAGAAGAGGCTGGAAGCCTCCTTGAGCAAATCACCAAATTTAGCAAATAAAAATACAAGAGGTCCAGTTAAACTTGAATTTCAGATAAGCAATAAACAATTTTAGTACAATGTAAGTATGTTCCAAATATGACACCAGATATACTTTTACTGAAATTTCAGATATACAGAATTCCATATAAACCCTATACATTTTTAGTACTTTCTTTTTTTTAAAGTATTGATTTTTCAAAATTCAAAATCATCTGGATATTCTATATTTTATCCACCAACTCTACCTACTGTCACATATAATCTATGGTTCCTTTAGCCCAAGGCCCCCCAAAAGTCAGTCATTAACAGACCACATATGTAGTTATTACCATATTCACAGTAATGCCAATATTATTTATTTAATATTTTCCTTTCAATTAGCTCACTTTGTAAAAAAAAAAAAAAAAACAAAACACCTAAATAAGTTAGGAAAAAACAGGGGACATTTTCTATTACTACCATAAATTAGAGACCAGAATCACTTAGCACAAATAGGTGACCACAAATAAAACCAAAACAATGTCATTAAATTCTGGTTAAATGTCTCTGCCTAGCAAAAGATCTGCAATTCAGACCAGCATTATCTTTTCTCAGAGGAGATGTTAGCAGATTTAGAGAAGTGTCATCCAGCACTAAACTGAGACTTTCTTCTTGACATAATCAGAAAGAATGGAATTAGAAGAAGAATACCTTTCTTACTATATCACCTTGCATACCTCTTATCCCATACTTTGGGGAATACTTCCTTAGCTCTTTCTTGGAAATCATACAGTTTATTCCTTCTTAACTTTGTACACTAGTGGGTTTTGTGAGAAGGAATTTTGGACTGTAGGGGACACTGTCAGTGCCTATCCAGAGGACCGCTGATCCTTCTTACCTGATCTGCACTCTTAGCCACCACTCAGCACGCTTTGCTGCTAACAGCTCATCGCCGCCATTTGTAGAGGAACATCTACGGATGCTAGCACGCCTAGGCCCTGAGAGCTGAAGACGCCCAGGAACTTTACAGCCCCTTCCCCTGCCCCTGTTTCTCTCCTCCCCTCCCTCACCCCAACCCATAGTCACTGAACACCCGGTGTGGGTACAAAAGTCCAGCTGCTTTGATTCATGAACAAACACTGAGGGGTAGTCATGCTCCAGAGGTCCCCATGAGATTAGGCTGAGCCTGGAACTTCACCTGAAGTCACGCCCTTGCTTGATTTCTCCTCCTGCTCTGCCCTGCTTCCACACCTCCCGCACTGGTTTCCTGGGACTATCTTCTCTTTTAAAGTTTCACTCACTGATTTATCTCTAGCTGCTCTGGGTCTTCGTTGCTGCACAGGCTTTCTCCAGCTGTGGAGCGCGGGGGCCATTCTCCAGTTGTGAAGCCCAGGCTTCTCACTGCGGTGGTTTCTCTCGTTGCAGAGCTCGGGCGTCAGTAGTTGTGGCATGAGAGCTTAATTGCTGGAAATACCTTCCTAATCAGTCACTTGTATGGTCCATGCTCATGATCTGCTTCTGGGAGAATCCAACCTGAGGCTGACTCTGTAATAGAAGTCCAAAATGGGAGGCAGGAGCTCCATTCATCCAAAGAAGTTAGGCAGTTTCTTTACCACTAGAGCCACTTGGGAAGTCCCCACCACTTACTGAGTTGGTGGAAACCCCAGCTTTCCATTCTGTTTCAAGCAGAAGGGTCCAAGATATGGCCTAACCATCCAGCCATGCCTCAGCCCTTTGCTCCGCTCAGCACTTCCCAGGCAGAGCCCCACAGAAGCGTGCAGCACACAGCTGTCAGATCTCACCTCTGCATCCTGGTTTTCCCACTAACCCGTGGATACCTACCCAAGAAGGAGGCTTGGTACTGACCAACGTCATTATCCTGGTAGTGACTGTCATGCCTTTCAAGAAAGCCTGTGCAGGGGCTTCCCTGGTGGCTCAGTGGTAGAGAATCCGTCTGCCAGGGTTTGACCCCTGGTCCAGGAAGATTCCACATGCTGCGGAGCTACTGAGCCCATGGGCCACAACTACCGAGCCTCTGTTCTAGAGCCCAGGAACTGCCACTACTGAGCTCACATGCTGCAACTACTGAAGCCCGCATGTGTCTGGAGACCGTGCTCCGCAACGAGAGAAGCCACTGCAGTGAGAAGCTCAAAACTAGAGAGGAGCACTGCGGCTAGAGAGTGGCCTCCACTCTCCGCCACTAGAGAAAAGCCCACACAGCAACAGAGACCCTGCGCAGCCAAAAATGAAATACATTAAAAAAAATTTTTTTTTAAAGAAAGAAAGTCTGTGCAAAGGTCACTAACATACCCTGCCTTTGGTCACTTCAGGCTGCACCATTCGGAAACACCCTCAGAACTCCACAGGAACATCAGCAGCACGAGCTTCCTGGTGACTAAAGACTACAACGTGAAGGTGAGCGTGGCCTTGCAGGCACCCTCTGAGTTGACCCATGTGACTGTTTGGTGCTGGGAGAGGCATGCGTGTTTCCCTGAAAGCCTGTGCCTGCTTGTTTCTCGGCCTTCGCCGTGGAACTGAGCTCTGCGCTTCCTATGCCTGGACAGCGCCGCACCGCCCCCCCTCCCTGCCACTGGACAGACTCAATTCTCCCTGCCCTTCTGATGCTCGTCTCCCCCCTCTTCCCGTCCACCCAGCAGGGGCGGGCTAAGAGCCGTCGCCTCTTAGATGCCTGGACACCGCGTCGTCTTAGGTCTAAGGAGGCATCTAGACTCACAGACTGGCCGTGGCCCGCATGTGGCACCTGGAGGCAATCAGAAGGGTATCGTGCAGGAAACAGCATGCCACCTAGGCGGCATCAAATCCTGCCATCCAATGGGAGCCCCCACAATCCTCCAGGAGATAATCTCCTTGCCCTCACCCCAAGTTCGACAGAAAGAGGCTCCTCTCCGCAGGTGCAGGAGAAGCTTAGAAGCCTCACGACTCACAGGAGTCAATATTCTTTTTTTTTAAACTGGAGGAGTTTGTGTGTGTGTGTGTGGTATCACTGCATTTTTTATTTATTTATGGCTGCACTGGGTCTTCGTTGTTTTGCAAGAGCTTTCTCTAGTTGCAGTGAGCGAGGGCTTCTCGTTGCAGAGGCTTCCATGTTGTGGAGCACAGGCCCTAGGCATTCAAGCTGCAGTAGTTGCAGCCTGCGGGCTCTAGGGTACACGGGCTTCAGTAGTTGTGGCTCACGGGCTTAGTTGCTCTGTAGCACATGGGATCTTCCTGGACCAGGCATCAAACTTGTGTCCCATGCATTCTTATCCACTGTGGATTCTGATCCACTGGGCCACCAGGGAAGTCCTCGATGTTCTTTTTTATAACAACTCCGTAGGCATGCCTTCCAGCATCCCCACAAGGGGCATGCCAGGTATGCGTCACCACATAACCCAGCATCCCTATAGCTCTTCATAGTCCCCACCGCTCTGACCTCCCGTCCATAAATGACTTACTAATCACTGGTCATTTATTAATCAGCAGCAATATATATTACTTAGGAGCATAAGTAGCAGTCTATTTTTGACAGGTTCCCAGGGGAATAGAACTAAAAATTTCACTGACATTCAGATTGTCCTGTGGATGAGGAAAGGGTTTTGTTAACCCCATGTCCACAGTTTTCAAATGCTAAAAGAATATATTCTTTGTCATCTGTAGATAGCTTTCTCTGAATATCAAGAGACAGGCCTTTTCTGCCCTTCAGATGTCTTTTCCCACCACTCAGTTCAATTTAGTTCAGTCACTCAGTCATATCCAACTCTTTGTGACCCCAAGGAATGCAGCACGCCAGGCTTCCCTGTCCATCAGCAACTCCTGGAGCTTGCTCAAACTCATGTCCATTGAGTCAGTGATGCCATCCAACCATCTCATCCTCTGTCATTTCCTCCTGCCTTCAATCTTTCCCAGCATCAGGGTCTTTTCCAGTGAGTCAGCTCTTCTCATCAGGTGGCCAAAGTATTGGAGCTTCAGCTTCAGCATCAGTCCTTCCAATGAACACCCAGGACTGATTTCCTTTAGGATGGACTGGTTGGATCTCCCCGCCATTGGTGTAATATAAGTAAGTGTTCCCAAAGCACGGTGTCTATGCCACTCTCTTGGTGCTCCTCTTGGTGACTGTAACATGTGCTATTCAGCTCCTCACCCCTGGTGGTTAGTGTGGAGCCCGATGTCAGAGGATGTCAGCACTCCCTGAACTTGTGACTAAAAGAGGGAGGAGCCACATAAGCATCTAATTCTTGCCGCTAGCTTTGGCTCCCTGGCTGCATTTGGCCCAGACAGCCCTCTGCACACAAATGGTGCTGATGACAGGTGTACACGGAGCAAGAACACAGCCTCCCATGACTTGTGCTGTGCCTTCTTTAAGAGTGTGGCATTGGCCACGTAGGGTCAGATACGACAGAGAGGATCCCCCATGTTGTTGGAGGTTTTTTGTTTCTTCGATTTTGCTTTGTTTTGTCTGCCTCCAAGAGAAAACGAGCCATTGGTAGCTCCAGGCACCCCTGTCCATCCTAACACAGTGGAGTTGGGTTATCAACTGAGGAAGCCCTGTACATATCTAATGTAATATTAGAATGACTACAACACGCAAGTCTTATGCGGCGGTGAGCCACAACTGCTGAAGCCTGCGTGCTGCAACTCCTGAAGCCCATGCGCCTGGAACCTGTGTCCCAACAGGAGAAGCTACCACAGTGAGAAGCCCGAAACTGGAGAGTAGCCCCCCACTATTAGAGATTAGCACCGCAACTAGAGAGTAGCCCCATTCTTTGCAGCTAGAGAAAGTCCACACGCGGCAACAAAGACCCCGCACAGCCAAAAATCCATCAATTAATTTTTAAAAAACATACCTGTAAAAACAAGTTTTACAGGTGCTTGACAACCATCACTTCAAGTAATCCTCACTGTCTCATTTTTACAGAGAAGAAACCTCTTTATGTTTCTCTTAGTCAATGCACCATAATAGATTGAACCCGGGATGCAGCCAGGAGAGGAGCCACACGGCCAGGAGACCTCACTGGAAACATCTCGAAGGAAAAAGACCATCCCCTGACGGTCACGTGTAGCACCAGTCCCTGCCCTCTACTTCCCACCCGAGATCATGCCGTTTCCTCCTGCCTCTGAGTCGCCTCTCTCTCCAGCTTGCAGGATTTGAGTTGAGCAAAACACAGACTTCCATCAGCCGACAAACTGGGGGAAAAGAAGCAGAGAGAGTCAATTCTGCCGCGTACATCTCGCCTCAGAGGTTGGAAAATGTGTATAGTAAATACGACATAAAAGCTGAAATATACAGGTATGTTCATGTTCTCATGCCAGTTCTCAGATGAACCTGACAAGAAAGTCCCAGTCAAATGCTGTTTGGGAGGAGCATCTGTGGAATGTAACTGATGGTAATGAGAAAGTTCACTGTGGGGAGTTCCTGATGGGCTAGTGGTCAGGATTCAGCACTCCCACGTCATGGCCTGGGTTTAATCCCTGGTTGGGGAGACTGAGATCCTACAAGCTACACAGTGCAAAAAAAAAAAAAGAAAAGAGAATTCTCTGTGTTTTCTGGAAATGGCTCCAGGGGCACAGAAAAAAGGAAACTTGTTATCACTGCTCATTTTTCTGCTTCTCTTTTAGCTTTGGAATTGTTCTCTGGGAGATCGCCACTGGGAAGAGCCCATTTGAAGGTAACCAGTGTGAAAGCTGACTCAGATGGTAGACTAGAGTTACACAGCAGTGCTGTCCTGGACGCTTTCTTCTTCAATGTGGGCACTGCCTGCACTGGTCAGTGGGGTCACTGGAAGCTCCTGTGTCTCCAGTTCTGAGAGTCCCTAGTTCTGATGCCAGCCGGCAGCATCCAGAGGGATGTGTGGGTGCCAGAGCAACCTTTAAGCCTCCCGTCATATCATTTCCACACCAGGTTGTGATTCCAAGAAGATCTACCAGCTGGTGGCTGAGTCCCGGCACCGAGAGCCAGTGGGTGAAGATTGCCCTTCACAGTTGCAGGAGATCATTGATGATTGCCGTGCCTATGAACCCTCCAGGAGGCCCTCTGTTAAAGGTAGGGCTCTTTCTGGTCTAAAGAGCATGGACCACATGTGTTACTTAACATTTGTGAAACATTTTCTTTGTGTATCACAACCAGGGGTGGTTTTGCCCTTCGGGGGACACTGACAATGTCTAAAGACATTTCTGGCAGTTACAGCTTAGGGGAGGTGGGGTGGCGTGGACATGTCCACTGGTATCTGGTGGACAGAAGCTACTCAGCATCCTAGGACTTACAGGACAACCCCTCCAACAACGATTATCCGGCCCAGATTGTCAGTAGCACTGGAGTTCAGAAACCCTGGCCGAATGGCATTGTTTAGTCTAAAGTGGGTTGGGAAGGCAGATTACTCCAGCCTATACTCTTTCTGTAGCTCAGAGGAGTAGCATACTGGGCATCTACCGACCTGGGAAGTTCATCTTTCAGTGTCATATCAGTGCCATTTTAGTTCGCTGATTCCTAAAATGTCGATTTTCACTCTTGCCATCTCCTGTTTGATCACTTCCAATTTGCCTTGATTCATGGACCTAACATTCCAGGTTCCTATGTGCAGGGGTTAATAGTCAGCCACCTGTTGCTCTGGCTAAGCCATGGGAAAATCACCATGGGAAAAGAATAAAAGCAAAATATAGCAATACAGCATAACACAAATGAAAGTACATCAGGTTGATCAGTTGGGGTTGTCATGCCCTGCTAAGCTAATGAAAAACATAGTGTGGACCTTGAAACACCGGGTCAGCTCAAGTTCAGAACGCAGCTTGTGCACACACTAAGGTGTTTTCCCAAGGCATATGTGGGTCTATGACCTCCAGCTTGGTGATAGCCCTTGTACAAGAAAATAATAGAGATAGTTTAAAGTAATCAATAAAATGGGAGACGTGACTGGGGACACAGGAGGCTGACTTCATCATAGCACAACAGATCCTTTCTGCTTGCCAAGACACTCAATAAAAGTGATGTGGCTCCAAGGAACAGGACTCTTGGCCCAAGAGGTCTTGAGTCTCCCAGCCCCATCTTTAAAACTTTAGTTCTGTCTCTAATTTCTTTTTCCCAAATGCTGCGTCAGCCACTTTTGAGCCCTACCCACTGTGCTGGCCACAAAACCTATGCCATATTGTTCTTTACAGCGTAGGACTTTTACTTCCATCACCAGTCATGTCTACAACTGAGTGTTATTTTTGCTTTGGCTCCATCTCTTCCTTCTTTCTGGAGTTATTTCTCCACTGATCTCCAGTAGCATATTGGGCACCTACCGACCTGGGGAGTTCATCTTTCAGTGTCCTATCTTTTTGCCTCTTCATACAGTTCATGGGGTTCTCAAGGCAAGAATACTGAAGAGGTTTGCCATTCCCTTCTCCAGTGAACCACATTCTGTCAGACCTCTCCACCATGACCCGACCGTCTTGGGTGGCCCCACACGGCATGGCTTAGTTTCATTGAGTTATAATGATCTCTGTTCGTTTCTGAGGCAAACCAATCAATACCACAGAATGCCAAGACTTTCCCCAAACTGTAATGCTGAAGAAGCTGAAGTTGAACGGTTCTGTGAAGACCTACAAGACCTTCTAGAATTAACACCCAAAAAAGATGTCCTTTTCATCATAGGGGACTGGAATGCAAAAGTTGGAAATCAAGAAACACCTGGAATAACAGGCAAATTTGGCCTTGGAGTACAGAAATAAGCAGGGCAAAGGCTAATAGAGTTTTGCCAAGAGAACGCACTTGTCATAGCAAACACCCTCTTCCAACAACACAAGGGAAGACTCTACACATGGACATCATCAGATGGTCAATACCGAAATCGGATTGATTATATTCTTTGCAGCCAAAGATGGAGAAGCTCTATACAGTCAGCAAAAACAAGACCAGGAGCTGACTGTAGCTCAGATCATAAACTACTTATTGCAAAATTCAGACTTAAATTGAGGAAAGTAGGGAAAACCACTAGACCATACAGGTATGATGTAAATCAAATACCTTACAGTTATACAGTGGAAGTGAGAAATAGATTCAAGGGATTAGATCTGATAGACAGAGTGCCTGAAGAACTACAGATGAAGGTTCATGACATTCTACAGGAGGCAGTGATTAAGACCATCCCCAAGAAAAAGAAACGCAAAAAGGCAAAATGGTTGTCTGAGGAGGCCTTAGAAATAGCTGAGAAAAGAAGAGAAGCAAAAGGCAAAGGAGAAAAGGAAAGATATACCCATCTGAATGCAGAGTTCCAAACAATAGTGAGGGGAGATAAGAAAGCCATCCTCAGTGATCAGTGCAAAGAAACAGAGGAAAACAATAGAATGGGAAAGACTAGAGATCTCTTCAGGAAAATTAGAGATACCAAGGGAACATTTCATGCAAAGATGGGCACAATAAAGGACAAAAATGGTATGGACCTAGTAGAAGCAGAAGATATTAAGAAGAGGTGGCAAGAATACACAGAAGAACTATACAAAAAAGATCTTCATGATCCAGATAACCATGATGGTGTGATCACTCATCTAGAGCCAGACATCCTGGAATGTGAAGTCAAATGGTCCTTAGGAAGCATCACTACGAACAAAGCTAGTGGAGGTGATGGAATTCCAGTTGAGCTATTTCAAATCCTAAAAGATGATGCTGTGAAAGTGCTGCACTCAATATGCCAGCAAATTTGGAAAACTCAGCAGTGTCCATAGGACTGGAAAAGGTCAGTTTTCATTCCAGTCCCAAAGAAAGGCAATGCCAAAGAATGATCAAACTATTGCACACTTGCACTCATCTCACACGCTGGCAAAGTAATGCTCAAAACTCTCCAAGCCAGGCTTCAACAGTATGTGAACCGTGAACTTCCAGATGTTCAAGCTGGTTTTAGAAAAGGCAGAGGAACCAGAGATCAAATTGTCAGCATCCGTTGGATCATTGAAAAAGCAAGAGAGTTCCAGAAAAACATCTATTTCTGCTTTATTAACTATGCCAAAGCCTTTGATTGTGTGGATCACAACAAACTGTGTTGTGGAAAATTCTGAAAGAGATGGGAATACCAGACCACCTTACCTACCTCCTGAGAAACCTGTATGCAGGTCAAGAAGCAACAGTTAGAACTGGACATGGAACAACAGACTGGTTCCAAATAGGCAAAGGAGTATGTCAAGGCTGTATATTGTCACCCTTCTTATTTAACTTATATGCAGAATACATCATGTGAAATGCCAGACTGGATGAAGCACAAACTGGAATCAAGATTGCCAGGAGAAATATCAATAACCTCAGATATGCAGATGACACAACCCTTATGGCAGAAAGTGAAGAAGAACTAAAGAGGCTCTTGATGAAAGGGAAAGAGGAGAGTGAAAAAGCTGGCTTAAAACTCAACATTCAGAAAACTAGGATATGGCATCTGGTCCCATCACCTCATGGCAAATAGATGGGAAAACAGTGGCTGACTTTATTTTTGGGGGCTCCAAAATCACTGCAGATGGTGACTGCAGCCATGATATTAAAAGACAATCTTGCTCCTTGGAAGAAAAAGTATGACAAACCTAGACTGCATATTAAAAAGCAAAGACATTACTTTGCTGACAAAGGTCCGTCTAGTCAAAGCTGTGGTTTTTCCCGTAATCAGGTACAGATGTGAGAGTTGGACCAGAAAGGAAGCTGAGTGCCAAAGAATTGATGCTTTTGAACTGTGGTGTTGGAGAAGACTCTTGAGAGTCCCTTGAACAGCAAGGAGATCCAACCAGTCCATCCTAAAGGAAATCAGCCCTGAATATTCATTGGAAGGACTGATGCTGAAGCTCCAATTCTTTGGCCACTTGATGCAAAGAACTGACTCATCGGAAAATATCCTGATGCTGAGAAAGATTGAAAGCAGGAGAAGGGGACGACGGGATGAGTTGGTTGGATGACATCACCAACTCGATGGACATGAGTTTGAGTAAGCTCCGCGGAGTTGGTGATGGACAGGGAAGCCTGGTATGCTGCAGTCCATGGGGTCGCAAAGAGTCGGACACGACTGAGTGACTGAACTGATACTCTTTCTCTCCCTTTCTTCCTTTTCTTTTCTTTTATCAACACCCTGGGGTAAATTCCTTTACTCAGACTTTTATTTCACCATGTTATCAGCTGCACCTCAGTAGTTTTCTTACACCATCTCCCTCGATGGGAATGTCTCCCTCCCCTACTCTAGATCCAGATCTCTCAGGCTTTCCACGAAGCTCCAGATACAAGAGAACTTGATTCACATGCAATATATCTAGGTACTGGGGAAGTGTTTCTACTGAAGTTGCTACAGCGTTCAAAGATACAAAATCATGTTTTTCTTATCTTTATTGTGATATGTATCATAGTATAGTACAGCAATGATTAAATATATATGTGCATTTTTTTTTAAGTCGAAGAAAAAGAGTATCACAAATCCCCTCCTGGTTAAAGACTTGAACGTTACCACTAACTCAGAAACCACCTCCTTGTCCCTTGCTTTCACATTCCTCTCCCCTCCTCCAGGAGGAGCACTATCCTGACTTCCTGGTAGAAGTTTCTCTATCGTTTTATAACCAAGGTACACTAAATTATGGGCCTTCCTGTGGCTCAGCGGTAAAAAAATCTGCCTGCAATGCGGGAGCCCCCGGAGATGCAGGTTTGATCCCTGGGTTGGGAAGATCCCCTGGAGGAGGAAGTAGCAACCCACTCCTGTATGCTTGCCTGGAAAACGATGAACAGAGGAGCCTGGTGGGCTACAGTCCACAGAGTCACAAAGAGGCAGACATGACTGAAGTGACTTAGCACAAATGTATAAGGACTTTTTATAAGTGGTATCATGCTATTTTCTACCACAACTTTCTTCAGTTGATCAGTTAGTATGAAGAAATGATTTGAAATTCATCCATGCCAATGTGATGGTTTCAACGTATTCTTTTTCACTGCTGTATAGTAGGCCACTTAGATAACCATGCACCTTACTTACCCCTTCCTCTATCTATGGATACTGTAATCGTCCTTTTAAGAACCTCACCCTTAAACATTCTTGTGCATGTATCCTGAGACACACAGGTGAGAATATCCTGAGTTAGAGACCTGGGGGTGAAGTGTATTAACAAATAAAGATTAAATGCCTTGAGAGAGAGAACTAAGAAGATAGGCGTCCAGGCTTTGGGGGCAGTCCCCGCCAAGGACAGCGCCACTGTTTACAGAAGTCTCTGGCACGAAGGCTGTCCTTCAAGGCCTTCCCGTCGGTGGTCCATTGGGAATCACTCTAGCAGTCATGTTAGAGAGGGCAGTCTCATCCGTCCCCTTCCTTTGCCCCCATCCCTACCTTTTGGGATGAAAATCTGTTTTGCCGAAAGTTTTGCTTTTCTTTTAAGTTCAAAAGGTTCATTAACAAAAGAAACCATTTGTTACACACACAGTAAACAATTTCGATATTTAATAGAGGATTTATTGACTTCATTTCAGTATATAGTCATTAAAATAAGAGAAAAACAACAGAGAAATGTAACAGCACACATATCACCAAATTGAGCCAAACAACCTCCAGACTTCAAAAGTGCTGGGAAGCCCCTCGTTAACAGCAGTCTGGAGTCCCAGTTGGGAAGAGGTCCCCAACAGTGCATCTAACCCACGGGTGAGACTTCAAATTGCAGTTTGGGGAGCTCCTGATTATAATCCCAGGCTGCCAACTGATACGAGCATCAGTCTGCATGCAAAAATGCAGTGATGTTTTTTCTTTAACTTTTACAATGTTGTTTGTTTCACCTCGTGAGTCACAAGATTTTCTGGAACCCCAGGGAGCAGGCCAGGCCTCCAAGGGCTCAAGGAAATCCAAGACCCATTCCCTCTCTTATCTAAAGTGCCGCTTGGCTTCCTAGTAACAATTGGTGTGTTTGCAAGCAGGCACGTAGTCCAGGCAGGGTCAGAAGTCAGTCTGTAGCCTGCTTTCCTGCTTCTGAAGCCTGAACAAGACTACTTCCATTTTAATTTCCCTAACAAAATCAAAACCTTGGCCTAGCTTCTACGTGAAACTTTCTCTTTGCCCTCACAGCACAGAAGAGCAGACTCAATGGTGCTTCCTAAAGAAAAATCCTTCAGGGTGGATGAGAAGCTGACAGTATTTTCTACAGTACCTTCCTCTCCTCCAAATTTTCCTTTGTCTTCTTCCTCCTCTTTCCAGGCTCCCTTAAACCCAGGTCCTCCTGGTATTAGAGAATCTAATACCTGAGACTAATTTACACTAAGATGTGAGCTTACCTCTCCCACAAGCTAGTTATATTTTAAAAGTTGTCCAAGTAAAATTACAAAAATAAAATAAAAATAAACTAACAAAAATTGTCCAAGTGAGAGAGAACATCACATTCCAAAGGCATAAATGCTGGTGGTGTTTTAGACTCCAGCCAGACCAAGGGGAGTGCAGTTTCTACACTGTCTTGTAGTTTGGAAATGTCTTTGTTTCTAACGTGGCTGTCAGTTCCTGAGCTTGTCTAACGTTCTGTTCATTCATTCACAGAAATCTTAAAGAGACTGTCTCCCTTTTGTTAAACCAAGTATTGAAACTGAAACTGTGTCCCTGAACAAGGAGCTGGAAGAACAGGAGTTGGGCATCTTTTTCTCTCAAACCCTTCAGCATGGATTTATTTATGGATACAGGGAGGCAGCACTTCTCTGTAACAAATAGAAAACAACTCCAGTAATCCATCCCACTCCCAATGATGCTGTCAAAAATACACCTTTGATAATAACTCTGATTGTTTTAAAAAACATGTGCCTCTCTCTCTGGATCCAAACGTCTTGGCATTGTGACTTAGCAGCCCCTCCCATCAAGAAGTCGAATCTAGGGCTTCCCAGGTGGCTCAGTGGTAAAGAATCCACCTGCCAATGCAGGAGACATGGGTTTGATCCCTAGTCTGGGAAGATCCCACATGCCACAGAGCATCTAAGCCTGTGCGCCACAACTATTGAGCCTGTGCTCTAGAGCCTGGAAGCCACAACAACTGAGCCCAACTGCTAAAGCCCGCGCACCCTTGAGGCCGTGCTTTGCAACAAGAGAAGCCACTGCAAGGAGAAACCCGCTCACTGCAACGGAGAGAAGCCCCCAGTCGTTGCAACTAGAGAAAAGGCCTGCGCAGCAGTAAGGACCCATCACAGCTAAAAATAAAAAGATAAACAAGATTTTTTTTTTTTAAAGTAGAATCTACATCTCCACCACTTGAACCTAGGCTGGTGTTGTAACTGGCTTTGGCCAATAGAATGTCGAAGTGATGGTGTTTTGGTTCCAAGGCCAGGCTTCAGGAGGCCTTACAAACTTCCACCCCGTCTCTTGGAGCCCTCCCCCGCCGGGAGCAAGCTGGGCAAGCATGCTGGAGAAGGAGAGACCACGCGCAGCCAAGACAGCCTGGCCCAGCCGAGGTCATACTAGACCAGCCAGGCCAGCAGCTGTCACAGGGGTGAATCCAGTTGAGACCAGAAGAACCACACAGCAGAAGCAGCCCAGACGGCCCATTTACAAAAACATGAGCTAAATAAATGACTCTGGTCTTAAGCCACTAAGTTCCGGGGTGAACTGTGACACAGCAGTAAACACCTGGGCAAATACCGATCCTTCCTCTTTCCCACTGAACTAAGTACAGAATCCCGCTTTGGATCCCCAAGGCCTTTTATCTCTGACGCCAACCTGATCTCCAGTATCCGGTCCCAGAGTGCTCCCACCAGAGACTGCAAACTCTAATACCTATGAGGTTCAGTGGGAGCCTAAAAAGTGAGTTGAGCCTGAAGGAGAGACTTCAGGGAACCACTGAGCTTTGTGAGGAAAGGGCAGCCTCTGCTCAGCTCCAGCCTATTTTTATCAGATAGGAACGGGACCCCAGTGTTTCCAGAGCCATCCACTTTGTCACATTTTTGGTAAATTGTCCATCTTTTTAAAGATTGGCACTTCATTAACAATTATTTTTATGCTGTACAGGCCAAACGAAATATATCAGCCTAAGAGTTCTCAGAAACCCGTGTCTCCTGGATGTGACCTGTTTGTTCTGAATTTTTTTACACCTTTGCTCTTGGTAAGGGGACCTCTACTTGTCCCTGCTTTTCTTTCCGCCTGAACTCCTCCCAAACCATTCAACAGCGAATGTGCTGGACATTGTTCCAATCACTGAGGAGACAGCAATAGACGGGGCAGGGAGCGGGGTCAGTTGGGAGCTTGGGATGAACATACACTTCTATACAGAAGACAGATAACCAACAAGGACCTACTCAATAGCACAGGGAACTCTATTCAATATTCTGTGGTAGCCTTTATGAGAAAAGAATCTCAAAAAGGAGGAATATATTTACATGTGTAAGTGAATCACTCTGCTATACGCCTGAAACTAACACAACTATAATTCCATAAAATTAAAATTAAAAAAAAAAGGCAAAATAAATTGGAGCTTATAATCTGGTAATCATCTCTGGGGAGTAAAATTGTGGTTCATTTCTATTCCTTTTTATCTTTTATTTATTCTTGATGTTTTTAAACCTAGAACATTTTTAAGTTAAAAAAGAGAGAAGAATCAACAAGGACAGAATGAACACTGAAAATGAGGCTTTTCTTGAGCTAATCATAAGGTACTACTATTTTCATCTTTGAAATCTTATGTTCTCTGTAGCTATAGGGGCTACAGCATAAATTCTCCCTTATAGGTTATACATGTTCTGGTAGACCCACACGCAGAGGCGGATTCACTGTGAAAGTATTAGTAATAAAGTTTAATCTTCAGGGACCCCTGACTCTCACAAGACATCTTCTAAAGCCCTATACCTATTTTTTTCCTCAACATTTATAAATATAAAAATTTTCAAATACTCAGGAATGTCAGTAGAGTTATGCTCTGAACATCTGAATAGTCACCACCTAGATTCTACACCTAACAATTCACCATATTTTATCACATACTTATCAATTCAGCCATTCTTCTTCCTACCGTTGATCCATCCTTAATTTTTATGCATTTAGAAGAAAATTTCAAACATCAACATAATTCATCACTAAACATTTCAGCATTTATATTATTAACTGCAGTTCAATATTTGTTTACAGGGTGGTATTCTTTGTTTGATGGGGGAAGGTAATGTTTCCATGTTGTGAAATACACAAATCCTAAATATACCATTTGATGAGTTTAATAAATTCATACACATGACTGATCCAGACCCCATCAAGATGACAAACATTACCATCATGCCCAAAAGTCCTATTGTGTGCATACAGTCAAACCCCCTCTTCACTGCTGCCCCGCAATTCTGATTTAAATGGCATTTTTGAGGTGTAATTGTCCCACAGTGGACAACACATGTTAATGTGTGATTTGATGTTTTGACATTTATATGCACCACCACAATCAAGATAATGAACATGTGCATCAGTTTCCAAAGCTGCTTCATGCTCCTTTATAATCCCTCCCCCCCACCACTCCACCACCCCCAATTCCCTAGGCAACCACTCACCTGCTTTCTATCACTACTGATTAGTTCATTTTTTAAATTTTTATATAAATGTAATCATATGATATATGATAAGTTTGCCTTCTTTCAGTATAACTATTTTGAGATTCATCCATGTAATCACATGTATCCTTAATTTATTCCCTTTTTCTAGCTGAAAAATAGTTGAAAACTATGGCAATGTATGAGTGTAACCATTTATTTATCCTTTGATCTGCTGATGAACATTTGAGTTGTTTATAATTTTTGGCTATTACAGATAAAGATGCTATGGATTTTTACATACAAGTCTGTTTGAATATATGTTATTTAAAATTTTTTAAAAACTTTTTATTTTATATTGGAGTATAGATGACTAACAATGTTGTGATAGTTTCAGGTGGTATATACTTTTATTTCTCTTGGATAAATATCTAAAACCAAACAGCTAGATCATGTGGTAGGTGTACATTTAACTTTTTAAGAAACTGTCCAACTGTTTTCCAGAATGGTAGAGCTATTTTCCACTCCACAAGTGGCATATAGAGCTCCTCTATATCCTTGTCAACATTTGGTACAGTCAGCATTTTAATTTTGGTGATCCTAATAGGTATATCATGAGTGCTATGTCATTGAGCCTTTAGTTTGCATTTCCCTAATGATTAATCCCAAAGAAAGGCAATCCCAAAGAATGCTCAAACTACCACACAGTTGCACTCATCTCACACGCTAGTAAAGTAATGCTCAAAATTCTCCAACCCAGGCTTCAGCAATACATGAACTGTGAACTTCCAGATGTTCAAGCTGATTTTAGAAAAGGCAGAGGAACCAGAGATCAAATTGCCAACATCCAATGGATGATCGAAAAAGCAAGAGAGTTCTGGAAAAACATCTATTTCTGCTTTATTGAGTATGTCAAAGCCTTTGACTGTGTGGATCACAAGGAACTGTGGAAAATTCTGAAAGAGATGGGAATACCAGACCATCTGACCTGCCTCTTGAGAAACCTGTATGCAGGTCAGGAAGCAACAGTTAGAACTGGACATGGAGCAACAGACTGGTTCCAAATAGGCAAAGGAGTATGTCAAGGCTGTATATTGTCACCCTGCTTATTTAACTTATATGCAGAGTACATCATGAGAAACGCTGGGCTGGAGGAAGCACAAGCTGGAATCAAGATTGCCAGGAGAAATATCAATAACCTCAGATATGCAGATGACACCACCCTTATGGCACAAAGTGAAGAGGAACTAAAAAGTCTCTTGATGAAAGTGAAAGAGGAGAGTGAAAAAGTTGGCTTAAAACTCAACATTCAGAAAACTAAGACCATGGCATCTGGTCCCATCACTTCATGGGAAATAGATGGGGAAACAGTGGAAACAGTGTCAGACTTTATTTTTTTTCGGATCCAAAATCAGTGCAGATGGTGACTGCAGCCATGAAATTAAAAGACGCTTGCTTCTTGGAAGAAAAGCAATGACCAATCTAGACAGCATATGAAAAACAGAGACATTACTTGGCTGACAAAAGTCTTTCTAGTCAAGGCTATGGTTTTTCCAGTGGTCATGTATGGATGTGAGAAATGGACTGTGAAGAAAGCTGAGTGCTGAAGAATTGATGCTTTTGAACTGTGGTGTTGGAGAAGACTCTTGAGAGTCCCTTGGACTGCAAGGAGATCTAACCAGTCCATCCTAAAGGAGATCAGTCCTGGGTGTTCATTGGAAGCTGAAGCTGAAACTCCAGTACTTTGGCCACCTCATGCGAAGAGTTGACTCATTGGAAAAGACCCTGATGTTGGGAGGGATTGAGGGCAGGAAGAGAAGGGGACAACAGAGGATGAGATGGCCGGATGACATCACCGACTCGATGGACATGAGTTTGAGTAAGCTCCGGGGAGTTGGTGATGGACAGGGAGGCCTGGTGTGCTGTGATTCATGGGGTCGCAAAGAGTTGGACACGACTGAGCAACTGAACTGAACTGAACTGAATGACTAATGATGTTGATCATCCTTTCATTTATTAATCATTCTTTCATTTATGTTGCCATCTATATGTATCTTCTTTGGTTCTTTTTTTGGTCTGTT